ACGCTAGCGGTTTTTTTTGCACTGAGTTCGATATAAACGTTTATAATCGGGTCATTTGACATCCTTCTTACAGGTGCTAAATTCCTTTTCGCCATATGCCTCAAATAGGGGCTGATTTGGCGCCGCTAGCTTTTTTGTCACTGAATTCAATATAAACTCCTGTACATGAGTTATTTGACACCATACTTACAAGTATTCCTTCACTTTTAGTGCTGCCGCCATGTGGTGCCAAATGGCGCCAACTTGGTGTCATACTAGAGCGATACGAGCATTTCCTATCATCGAGAGGTGCATTTTCTTTCAAGTACTCCTATGGCGTTCGTCAGGTGTTGGAAACAAAGGGGAACAAATCTGTATAAGGAAAAATGAAGCAGAAAAGCAACGGGAGCAATTCAGATAAAGAGGAATGTGCAAGCAGGAGGAGGGCCTTATGCAGAACTAGGATTTTCTTAAAGGCAGTTGGCACGATAAATCCCCCAAGACGATTACGATCAATGCGCCTGGCAGGACGGAATTCCCTGAACAGGCGCTGCATAGCGGCTTCTCCAAGGAAGGTGCCCTTATAAGCCACAACATTTCGACCCAAACGCCCGCCACGCCCGCCCGCCCACAAATGGACGACCGTTCCTGACGCTCGTATTCATTCATTATGAAGCGAAGGGATTGGTATGAAGCGGCCGTGATGCTGCATGCATACATGGGTACACATATGCAGCCGTATCTTCGGTAGCGGTGATTGGCAAGATGCCTACGGGAAACTCGTCCGAAATCGATTTTCAAGTCACTGAGAACGGAGGCTTTTTCTTCGCAGGATTTTGACCGTTTCACTCCGTTCTTTCGCCATTTCCCCCACTACCAGCATTTTAGGCCGAGTAGGAAGCCATCGTGCCAACTGCCTTCAATGCAAAAACTATTTTTTGTACAAAGACACTGCTTTACCACCTCGAGACCTCCTCTCCTAGGCTCACGCTGTAATCCTCGCCTTCGTTAATTCTCGTCACTTTCGCTACAACTCTCCCGATTTACAACAGAACGGCTTTGGATGCTCCCCTTAGCCGGTCCTGCCGAATTTTCCTCACTGTTTGGGACCAGCCTCCTTGCGCCAAGCTACGCTCGAAATACGTGAATCCACTCTCTGCGATCAAATTGGGCGTAGTTGACGCGCATTAGAAGGTAACGGCATTCAAAACTCGGCGTGTGGTGACGCGCTCCATCTATAACAGGGAAAGACAAGCTCTGGGGAAAATCGCGACGCGGCGGTGGAAAGATAAAAATGTTCACATAGGCGCTTAAGTTCTTGTCCCATCTACGATAGCACCATACTGTTCACTTCGTGTGCTGTGACTTAGCGGAAGGGTGGCATCTGATGATTCTTTGGAAGGATTATGGCTCGCGTAAAGTACCTCTGTGTGAGCTGTTTTGAGCTTGCAGGAATTTATTCATATTCTTAGTAAAGGTGTTAGTGGTAAACGTAGTAGAATGCCTACTACTGGAATGCTGGCATATCTAAGCGTGCCTCATAATGTCAGCGAGGTCACGCTCAACATCTGTTATTAGGTTAGGTTCAGTCGCGGAAAGATTCTTGGCGCTTTTGCTGCAGCCTAAATGTTGTTACATTGCGATGCTATTTAAAAACTCATTCTGCCTTGCTTCTCAGTAGCACATCCTGTAGAGAATTTCTTGCGCTATCTGATGGTATAATTGCCGTTTCACCATTGCTTGATAAACCCTCTTTTTTCAAGATTTTTTCAAGCATGTGAAAAGAGCACTTCGGACGATTTTTTTCTTCGGCTATAAATTGGGGCAATCCGCAATCGAAACAGCTCAACAAATTAACCAGGTGTGGGGGCCCAATAGTGCTAAAGAAAGCACTGTGCGGCAATGGCTCAATAAATTTCGCTCTGGAGATTTCAGCCTTGAAGGTGAGCCTCATAGCGGTCGACCTAAAGCAATATCTGACGAGGATTTTAGGGGGATTTTGAAGGTTGACCCATCCCAAACAGTTCGAGAGATAGCAGAAGAGCTAGGCCTTGGCAAATCCACTGTTGCAGATGGTCTGGAACGCATTGGGAAGGTGAAAAAACTCGACAATTGGGTGCCCCACAATCGGAGTGACCGGCAGGAATCGGCACGTCTCGAGGTTCCTTCTTCACTGCTTTTGCGCAAAAGAATTGACCCGTTTTTGAACGGATTTGTCACCTGTGATGAAAAATGGATCATGTATGATAACAGGAGACGTTCCGGACAGTGGTTGGATTTGGAGGAACCACCGAGGTAATTTTCAAAGCCGAACCCTCGCGAAAAAAAAATTCTGGTCAGGTTTGGTGGTCATCGGCTGTTGTAATCCACTATAACTTTTCATCACCAGGCCAAACCATCACAGCAGAACCCTACTGTGAACAAACCGACCAAATGTACCGAAAATATTGTCAGCTGCAGCCAACACTTATCAAAAGAAAGGGTCCGATTCTTTTGCATGACAACGCCCGCCCACACGTTTCACAAATCACTATCCATAAATTGAACGAATTGGGAGTTGAAGTTCTACCTCACCCACCATATTCTCTAGACCTTTCACCAACCGACTGTCACCTTTTCAGACATTTTCAGAACTTCCTTGCTGAAAAATACTTCATCAATTAAGGACCAGGCAAAAAAGACCTTCGTAGATTTCGTGGATTCTCGACCACCCAGTTTTTTCTTTGATGGGATTTCTCGACTGCTGTCACATTGGCAAAAGTGTGCTGATTCGAATGGTGCTTATTTGGATTAAATCCGATGAGTGTTAAGAAAGTTATGATCGTTTAAAGTTAAACACCCAAAACGCTAAGAACTTTCCGGACAACCTAATATGAAGCAACAATCATCAAAGCATACTGGTTTTTCCAGTGGCTGTCCATATTACTCCGAAGAGAGTGCAGGCTGCGGTTAATTACCATAACATCCTCCCACTAATTTTTTTTCTTTTTGTCCTAGTTTCAAATGTGTCTTGCAGGGCGTCGTTCCCACAATGGCGTTCTGAGCGGTGCTAGTTCCATTTCATCCACGGTATGTCCTTACAGTTAGCAGTTTACTCAACAACCGATGCCCAAGCGAGGGATGAGAGGCTGTGGTGAGTGTTTGCCATCGATTTGTGATCTACAGTTCAGATCAATAAATCGCGCAGAGGGATCTATAATGTAACCCAGGGAATTGTTAGTAAATGTTTTGGACTACCTCCTTTGTGCATTGTTAAGGACTCCTATTGTTTGGGAAACACTGTGTCAAACATACTTATGCGAGGGTGCCGTAGTTGAGTTGCGTGGTTTCATTTCACAAGTGGACGGTCTATACTTAACAATCGTCTCAAAGTATAGTTGTGTGGGACTGATTCCGTGCGAGTTACAGAATTTCATTTGATGTTAAGTTTGATTGCCCTGAAGGAAAAGGTGGTACCATAATTTGAACATGGCACGGAACTGGTACACGGAACTGGTACTCGTGGTATATTCCAGTCCGAGACAACTGTCATCTTGTTCTGTGTTGGACAGAGACACGACAACAATTGTGTCAAGATGAAAATATCTCACCAGAAGCATAGACACCTTCAGGTTAAGTTGAAACATGCGGCCACGCCTACCCGATCTCAGGGATTTCGAGTATATTTCCACGACATTTTCATCTCTTGATATTGAAAGTACACTATCATATAATTCTCGAGCATGTGCATCGAACTTCATGCTGCGAGAGGCAATTTTCTAAAGCAGAACACGCTCTGTTGTGTGCCAAGTGCAGTTTGGATGGATGTGGCTGCAGCTTATCCTATCTTTTCCGGTACTGTGTCCTTCACCCTAAACAGCAAGAGCTTGTTATCATCGTGACGCCTCATAAAGCCCACATTTTTACGTTTTGCAGCTACCGTAACATCTCATATTTTGGAAGCCCTTTATGTCACATTTTTATTTGAAAGTTTTGGCAAAGTAATCAAGTACTTCTAATATTAATGTTTCTCTTGACTTTAGCACCTGTGCCACTTCCGTACGTTGCTAAAATTGATGGTCGCTTCGAAGAAGGCCTGTGTAGATATGCTACTAGATATTGTTAACCGGTAACTCTTGTGTAATACTGTTGTATGAAGTAATAGTTTCATGTAAGGCTCCGCACAAGAGCTAGAACTCAGGGTGTTTAGCTTTCTAGGTTGCTTGGAGTTCTTTTCGAGGTTTGCGTAAGTACGTCAGAAGTGCCGGAGAAGATGAGGCGCATGGTGGAATGGAGCGTGCCCCCGCTCCCACCAGGTACGTTGGCCACTGAAGTGATTTGCTCTCTTAACACGTTGACGACATCCTGAGCCACCGGTGGCTCATGAAAATGAATTACGAAGTTTGATAATTGAAATCAGTCCCTTTAAACGTATGAATTAATAACCAATGACCTCACTGTTCATTTTGTTTCCTGATCACACGAGATGAATAAGAGCTAGCGGAAGGCGTCCAGAACTTGCCAGCGCCTACAAATTACATCTGTCAGCGCTACGACTATAGGCGGCAACAATTGTCGCGCTATACAAATTACCAGACCACCATTTTCGCCGCTTTTATGTCCTTTCTTTCCGGTATTCAGAATCCCTTTTTCTTTGTTTCTATCTGATTCTTAGCTCTTCTTTTTCACTTTGATTATTCTTTAATTTAGTTTCTATGCTATTGATGTGTTATGTCTTGCAGTGGAGCATCAATTGGTCCCGATTACGGAATTGTTTTCGTTCTGTTTCAATGTCTGTTCTGTTGTGAATTTTGTTCGCGTTCAAATTCAATTTATAAGACACATGGTACGTGCTCAAACACATTGAGGGTGTATGAGACTAACAGCCCCCAGCTGTCGATGTGTCGTGGTCCCCCCGCTCAAACATGCCCAGGAATGGAGATACAGGACCGTGGGAAAGGCTTATTCCTTGCTACTCCGCCCAAAATTCACCGCGCGCGAGTTGCATTTCGCCGCGCGCGCGGTGAATTTTGGGCGGAGTAGCAAGGAATAAGCCTTTCCCACGGTCCTGTATCTCCATTCCTGGGCATGTTTGAGCGGGGGGACCACGACACATCGACAGCTGGGGGGCTGTTAGTCTCATACACCCTCAATGTGTTTGAGCGTACCATGTGTCTTTAAGTGGAAAAGGGAGATTAAAAGATAGAAACGAGAAACAAAAGAAAAAGGATCGAATACTGAAAGAAAGAACATAAAGGGAAACTGGGGTCTGGTACAATTGTAGCGCACCAGTGCAGCGCCACAGTGTAGCGCGACAGTGTAGCGCTACAAGTTTGAACGCTGCCTAATTATCACTTGCATCATTTAGATCCTTGATTCTGAGCAGTGGCCACTGCCTGAGCAGGAGCAACCCGTATTACTTCAACAGAGATGAGCTGAGAAAAGAGGTATGTTGAGCGAAAATTTTTGCTATTTATCTACCCATTCATGCTTTTCTAATTCCATGTTTCAGGTTGCCATTATCTACAAGGAGAGTTGTAGACAATAAGCATATATGAAAGTCTGAGTTGAGTGATTAATCTCAAGGAAGTTCCTCACCCAAATGGAATTTAGTACGAGTTCTTTGTTGATGATAA